CAGGAATCTGAACATGTAATTAGGTCATTTTGACCAAATTTGACTTAATCCTCATTTTGATATGATGGGTCACATATTTCTCTTTAGCATTATGCTAATTGTGGATATAAACCATAATAATCCCCTTCTTTGTCCTATTTATTGGGATTTTCTCATGTTCTTATCATCTGCATCATAAAATATCCATGAATCCTGTCTGTTTTGTCAGCCGTGCAAACAGCTGATCAATAAATGTAACGAGATCGTCGGCCATAGATCCACTCCGCAGCCTCATCCTCATTTTGAAGCTTTAACATAATCAACGTTTTTTTCTCCGTTCGTGTCGTTCCTGTCGCTGCGAGCTGTTCCGCCCGCTGTCACGCGAGGTGTTTATTTGTGTTTTGTTTTGTCAGAAAAGCTCACCATTCTGAAAAAAAAAAAAAAAACGAATATGAAAACATCTGCACATGCTCCCTCCGGGGTTCCTCCGCGCAGAGTCACTCGAAAAATAAAATTGGAAATTCATTTGCTCGTGCGCGCGGCGACAATTTGGAGGGAAAATGGAACATGAAGTCATTTTTTGCGAGGGAAGCCGCCTGCGTCTCCCTCGACAGCGCCGAACGCGACGATTTGGCAAATGGAGGCGAGCAAACGACTTTGTAGAGAGAAGACGAGCGGTTAGATTTGAGCTGTTACGGCGGGTCACGTAAAGTTGACATCACCTCGGTGTAAATTAGCGGCGCAGATTTACGCGGAAATGAATCCTGCTCCGGTTTGAACCTTCCTGTTTCTTAATATTTCTGCAGCGGCGTAATAAAACTTCACGTTAGGCGTTTGATTYGGAGCTCGGTGATGATAAAAACGGTAATTATGCTGCAGATATCCCATCTGGGACATAAAAGTGCCATCTCTGATTTGAAATCATGACTTTAAATTGAGAAAAACCTTTATGGATCGCAGCTTTTTTTATATTAAAGACGTCTATTAGTGCAAACTGTGGATCTGTTAATGCATTAAAACGCAAGAATGTGTCACAGCAGCAGTTGTGCTCATTTTTAGCTCAAATGAAAGCTTTACTGTTCACAGGTGTGTGTGTGTGTGTGTGTGTGTGTGTGTGTGTGTGGTGAAGGTGAAACATTACATCTGTTCTTTTATTCTAACACACATCCTGTACGCCCTGCAGATGGACGAGTTCATCCTGACGAGCAGATATTAGACGTTTTAGTAAATTTTGATTTTTTTTTTTTTTGTACCCGAAGTTCTAAAAAATGCAGATTTTATTTAACACTAACATTTCTAACTAGATTAACTTTGCAACCAGATCGACTGCAGGGAGAGATTTTTCCATAATTAGTGAAAAAATGACTCAGTTCTTCATGAACTGCTCTGAAAGATCACGACAGTAAAGACAAATTAGTGATTAAAAAGGAAACATTTCCCTAACGGAGCTTTGAATCGACAGTAAAAACCAAAGTGCAGGTACAGGACTGAGAGGCAGGAACACACCTCCAACCTCCCCCCTCCCTCTCTCTCTCCTGCACACCATCCTCCATCCATTAGCCACACATTATTGTTAACAACATTATCATAATCCGATTCCCCGGCTGTTGATTCGATCATCCTCTTGTTACCAGCGTGGTCGTCACGCAAAGACATCCCTCACGCTCGTCCTATCAGATGCACACGACGGGGGGGGGAGGAACGGCATAAATCTCAGGAAAAAGTAGGAAATCGGGGAAACGACTTAAACCAATTCCCTGCGTGCGCGGGTGACGGGTCGCTCGGTCAGACGGCGCTGCGGCGACGTTTCATCAACGAGCGCGTTCGTTATTTTAGAGACCGAACGTGACGTAGGCCTGCGTATAAACTCTTCAACCTTTATGGTGGTAGATTCAGCGCAAACAAAAACAAAGCCTTTACTGTAACTGCTTCCAACGTGCAGTAAATGTAAAAATCATTTTAAAAAGCATTTAAGGTAATGACTTAAGGTAAGGACTTAAGGTAATGACTTAAGGTAATGACTTAAGGTAATGACTTAAGGTAATGACTTAAGGTAATGACTTAAGGTAATGACTTAAGGTAATTTGCAATCTGCTTTTGAATTGTGCGTCCTGCTCCTTTAACAACAGGCAGGACGTCGTAATTTGATTTCCTGCTCATTTACTTCCAAACGGCTATAAACAAGGGTTAGAATGAAGTGAAGGTGTGTGTGCTGTGTTGTGTGTGTGTTGTGTGTGTGTGTGTGCACTTGGCAGACAGCTCCTCCTGTGAGTGTTTCAGGATTGCTTTGGACAGCAGCTTTCTAAAAGGCCTTTCAGGAGGCTCAGGAGGAATTCTGCTTGGTCAAGCGAAGCGGCCTGGACAGGCAGCTAAGCTAAGCAGAATGAGGTGTTGTGTTTTACAACTCCTCCAACGCTTCGTCCGCGAGCACTTTTACTTCGCCTTCAAAGAAACGTACCCGTAAGCATTTCGGAAATCCGAGCGTGCAACAAATGGCGGGCTTACCGCCATTTTGTGCGCCTGTTCTGAAACCAGGTCTTGACTTGTGCGTCCGTCATCTTCAGGGCCTTGGCCAGGGCCGCGCGCTCGGCCGAGGCCAGGTACTTCTGCCGGTGGAAGCGCTTCTCCAGCTCGCAGATCTGCACCCGGCTGAAGGAGGTGCGGGGCTTTTTCCTTTTGGGAGGCGTCCGGTTCTGGTAGGGGTGGCCGATTCGACGGGTCACAGAGAAGGGCGAGAGGGCGGCTGAAGAGGGAGGAGACATTTGATTTGAACGTTTGAGTTTTGGACACATTGTTGCCTGTAGACTCTGAGCCGTGAACACAGTTTGGATTTTCAGCTCTTAATCTGATCGTTTGTTGTTAGAAATGTGAGAGAAACAGCAGCTGACAGCTGAAATTAGCACGCTGCAAAAAATGTCCATCTGACCAAGTTTTAAAGTCTTAAATCCAGACAAATATTTTTATCTTGTTTTGAGACTGATTTACTAAACAAAAACAGAATGTTTAAGAT